ACTTGTTGAATCGTTTCATAACGAAACGTTAGTACTTATTAACTAATTTGGTATGGCAACGTTTGAACACTTGTTTATCACTACTTGTTGAATCGTTTCATAACGAAACGTTAGTACTTATTAACTAATTTGGTATGGCAACGTTTGAACACTTGTTAACCAATACTTGTTGAATCGTTTCATAACGAAACGTTAGTACTTATTAACTAATTTGGTATGGCAACGTTTGAACACTTGTTTATCACTACTTGTTGAACCGTTTCATAACGAAACGTTAGTACTTATTAACTAATTTGGTATGGCAACGTTTGAGCACATATTTATCACTACTTGTTGAATCGTTTCATAACGAAACGTTAGTACTTATTAACTAATTTGGTATGGCAACGTTTGAACACATATTTATCACTATTTGTTGAATCGTTTCATAACGAAACGTTAGGACTTATTAACTAATTTGGTATGGCAACGTTTGAACACATATTTATCACTACTTGTTGAACCGTTTCATAACTAAACGTTAGTACTTATTAACTAATTTGGTATGGCAACGTTTGAACACTTGTTTATCACTACTTGTTAAAATGTGTCATGGGTACGTTTTTTTAATCAATGTAATAATCAATCGTTTATTTAGCTACATTTTCACATTTACAGTAATAAAATTTTATACTCCTAAACCTCTTACCATGCCCGAATATTAGGGTGCTACACTCGCAATCTGTGGGTCACGGGTTCGAGTCCTGTTATTGAATACACTCGCTATTTTGGCCGTATGTCTGTACGATCAATCCCACTCTTGATTAAAAAAGAATAGCCCACAAGTTGATGGTATGACTAGTAGCTTTTCTATCGCTACAAAATTAAGGACGGACAGTGCAGACAGCCCTCGAGCAGCTTGGCAAGAAATTCAACAAACAAACTACTCCTAAATCGTAGATCTAATATACTGTAAACGACCCTAGATCTAATATACTGTAAACGACTGTAAACGACCATAGATCTAATATACTGTACAAAAACTGTAAACGACCCTAGATCTAATATGCTGTAATTCTAAAACGGTATTATTACTTTGCTCAGCGATAAATCTGTGGGTTTACAATGTTAAAAATCGAGTTTCGATGCGTGCAGTGAACAGAACAGAGATAGCTCGAATGAAACTGGTATTAAACAACGAAACATGAAGTGAAAAGATAATATACAAAACAAGAATGAAACGAACTGGGAGCTAAACAAGTACCATGTGGAGGTGTTAGTACTGTCTTTAATAAACAAGTACCATGTGGAGGTGTTAGTGCTGTCTGGACTGAATAAACAAGTACCATGTGGAGGTGTTAATACTGTCTGGACTGAATAAGCAAGTACCATGTGGAGGTGTTAGTGCTGTCTTTAATAAACAAGTACCATGTGGAGGTGTTAATACTGTCTGGACTGAATAAGCAAGTACCATGTGGAGGTGTTAGTGCTGTCTTTAATAAATAAGTACCATGTGGAGGTGTTAGTACTGTCTGGACTGAATAAACAAGTACCATGTGGAGGTGTTAGTGCTGTCTGGACGAATAAACAGGTACCATGTGGAGGTGTTAGTGCTGTCTTTAATAAACAAGTACCGGGTGGAGGTGTTAGTGCTGTCTTTAATAAACAAGTACCATGTGGAGGTGTTAGTGCTGTCTTTAATAAACAAGTACCATGTGGAGGTGTTAGTACTGTCTGGACTGAATAAACAG